TAGAAAATTGAATATTGATGAGATGTCAACAAGCAGTTTCGCAAATAAGCATTTCCCTTCAGTGTACAACTTTTTTTCATGAGTGTTTCCCTCTGGGTAGTCAGGCTTAATGGTCTGTTTCAATGCTGCTGAGAAAAATTCAAATGTATGCCTCCACTCATGTAGGAAAGTGTGTGAATGTGAACATGTTTGAACAATTTGTACCAATTTGAAGCAAAAAGTGAGAACAATGTCAATGATATAATCTGCAAGAAGGTTATGATTTTCTAAATGGGCTGCACAGGTTTTTTAAGGGTTTTGTGTTATAACCATCTTCCAGATTATTCTGCCGACATATACAAAATGTAAAATAAAATAAACTGACACTGTGAGGATGACCAGCTCATTGAAGAGGTTTATGATATGAAGTATGAAACAATACAGAAGAATACAGTGTAGTACTAGTCTGTGGGCTCTGGAAGGGGGGAACCTTTTGTTCCAGGCGGAACTTGGATCGTGGGAGCCAGTAACCCGGAAGCAGGCGGCGGCTCAAGATGGCGGAGGTAGGAGGAGGTGGATCGGTGGAAAGGTTTCTCGGGTTCTGTGGGCGGGGGGTTTAAGAGCTGGGGGTTGGTGGAAGTGGCTCTCGCCGAGTCCGAGAAGGGGTTCTTTGGGGATGGGCGGTGGCCGCGAATTTGTGTCCGCTCGGAGGCCGGCGACTCCCCTGGTGTCCCCCGGAAACCGGTCCGCCTCTACTCTCCCAGCCCCAGCACCCTTCAGGAGGCGATTTGTTTATTTGTGGCTCATCTGTCTGTCGTGGAAATAACAGTTTACTTGATTCACCGATCTATTCCAAGGGGTTTTGGGAAAGGGACGTGGTGGAGGGTCGGGGAGGGGAATGTTTGAGGGAAGTGGGTTTTAGGGGTTGGGGTGAGGAAGGGGAAGAGGGTATGGCGTAAGAGAAAGGACTAGATTGGATGTGGAAGAAAGGGGGAATGGTTGGTGGGGTGAAGGGAAAACTTGATATTGAGTTGGGGTTCCTGAGGGGAAGGGGTTGTAGGAAGGGCCGTGCGTTTTCAATCGAATCAGTCATCACAACTCAGCCTTTTGGCTGAGACGTACAGCAGAGGTCTGCCCCTTTCCAGTGAATATACAGACTCCATGGTCTCACTTTTTTTTTTAAGAAGCAGAGAGAGCTATCCCCAGAAAGCTGGCCAATATTTGTTTCTCAGACAGTATTCCTTGAAAGTAAACAAGCTGTTTGTTATCGTATGGCTGACCTTGGAAGCTTGCTGTATGTAAATTGGCTGGCCTCATTTCATGGAAATGACTTCACTTCGAAAGTCCTTCATTGGCTGTGGAGTTGCATGAGAGAGGCTCAAGTCTGTGGAGGGCATTCTTTTCCTTTTTGTGTTTCTTCATGGCCAGCATCTGTTATTGGCCCCTAATTGTTCTTGAACTGAGTGGCTTGCTGGGCCATTCAGAAAGCAGCTCAGAAACAATAACATTGCTGTCGGTATGGGATCATCACACCACATTTAGTGAGATTGGTAGATTCGTTTGCTAAATGACATTCGTGAATGAGGTGGGTTTCAATGACACTTGATGTTTGCACTTGTCATCAATCCTAAGCCTATTTTTCAATGCCAGATCTTTTTATTTTGTTTTTAAAATTGAAGGCAAATTCCTCCATTTGCCATGGTGATATTTGAAACTCCGTCTCTAGAGTGATCACCTGGAGCCTGCATTACTCATCTAGTGACATTCTGACTATGCCAGCTTTCCCCCCCCCCCCCCTCATTTGTAACTTCCTTGTTTTGTATGTATTTATAATGATGTCACTGAATGAGTGTCATATCACAAGAACTTACTTTTTAAAAATGGGAGCACCTGAAGGAAAAGTAGACGAGATGTTTTCCACATGTTAATCAGTTTTATGAGGTTACACTTGATTTAGCAGTCAATGGCCACAGTGGATTCCAGATGATGATAGTTAATTCAGAGCATTTTTTTTAAGGAAAGAAAACTTGTTCGCTTTACATTCTACTTCCGTCTTACATCTATGATATTTCTGGTCAACAAAACTATGTTTTGCCGTGAGGATGCTGTACCTCATGTAGGAAAGCAGGTTATTAGATGAAGTCATTTATTTTTGAGTTATTTAGACTCATCAGTCTTAACTCGCCTGGATTCCTGGCTTAGAGATAGCAGGAACTGCAGATGCTGTAGAATCTGAGATAACAAGGTGTAGAGCTGGTTGAACACAGCAGGCCAAGCAGCATCAGAGGAGCAGGAAGGCTG